TATTTCCTTTCTTCTGGTGGCTGTGGGCTTTTTTTGCTGTTCTCTTTCTATTTGTTTGAGTCGTGTAGTTCATGTTTTGATTTTTGTCCCTAAGAAAGAAAATTTTAACCTGATGAAAGCTATCTACTTATTTCTAACATACTTAATGGTGAAGCTTTAGAAATAGCTGCAAGATCAAGAACTAGACAAAGATGGGCCACCATTCAGATTGTTTTGGAGGTCTCTGACTGGTTCAATTAGACCAAATAAAGAGGATAATTATGGGAAGGAAAGAGAAAAAACTCATTTACATATGAAAATCCAAGAGAAACTAGGAACAAGAAATTAATGGCCAGATTTGAGAATTGTTGTTAGTTGCTGTTGAGCTGATTCTGACTCATGGCGACACCATGTGTACAGAGGAAAACTGCTCCATAGGGGTTTCAAGGCTGTGACCTTTTGGAAGCAGATCACCAGGCGTGTCTTCTGAGGCACCTCTGGGTGGGTTCAGACTGACAGCATTTTGGCTAGTAGTCTAGCATTTAACTGTGCCATCCAAGGACTCCTTTTAAGAATAACAACCCCAAATTAGTTAACTTTTTTATATATCAGCACAAACCAGTTTGAAAATAATGGGTGTAGGGGAGTGGGGTGGGGAGAGGACATATGAAGAAAACTAAACTCTTCCTAAAAGATGTCAAAAAACATTTTTTTTCTAAAGAGAGATTTTTGAATATGTCACACGTCTTCCTGCCTTTATCAGGTTTTTTATAAGCAATAGAAATTGGCTCTGTCTAACAAGGAAAAATGAAATTCACTGGAAGAATATAGTGCCTCTGAAGGAGCAGAAACCAAGGCAGATCTGGGAATCCTTTGTTGTTGTTGTGTGCCATAGAGTTGATTCCAACTTATAGCAACCCTAGATCATAGTAGAACTGCCCCATAGGGTTTGCATGGAGCGGCTGATGGATTCGAACTGCCAACCTTTTGGTTAGCAGCTAATCTCTTAACTACTGCACCACCAGGGCTCCATTGCACCAGTATGGCTCCTTAAATTAGTGATAGCTACCCAGGAAACTAAGCAACAAGCAAAAACAGAGAACAAAATTCCAGGGAAAACAAAAAGTTGTACAAGAAAGGAAATGAAATCATACTACATTGTGTGTCTCAGCCATGAAAAATGCTAAAAAAAAAAATTATTTTGATAAAAAATTGCGACAACTATATTCAAAGAGAAAGGAGGGGAAGTGTAAGTAGGCAAGAAGTGCTAGATTGCGAGATCTCATCTGCCATATTGAGGAGTAAAACGAAAAATGCCTAAAATTGAAAAAAAAGTCAAGAATGAGCAATGTGTGTGAATTATTTAGAAATATGGAAATAAATAAATACCAGAAGAAACAGCCAAAAGATTGCTTCTGGGAGTATGAATCAGGAAGAGGTTAGGGGACTGCTGTTTCTCATTAGAGGCCTTGAATTTTTATTTGACTTTTACAACTATGTATTTGAGGAAATCAAAAAATTAAAAAAAAGAAGTCATTTCTGACAGTGACCCAGTCTTTAAACAACATCTAATACTGTAAAGAGTGGGTTTTAGTTTGAGAAACTCTGTTAAACAATTTATCCACAAAGGATGAAAATACACATTTGCTCAGTAGAGCAGAGCTTTTCCTGGTTCTGTTGTTAGCCACCGTGAGGTCAGCCTCCAACTCACACAAGCTTCCACTAGGGGGTGGTTGAACCAAATTCAGGTCTCCTGCATGGAGAGGGAGAATTCTACCACTGAACCACCAACGACCTGGTTCTAAGGTCAGAAATTTTCCTCCGGGATCCTCATGAGGGGAGCTCCATGCAATGATATGATTAGCATCCCTCACCACATCCCTACCATAAATATAAGCAAGGATTACAATATTCCTTTTTTTACAACTCCTTCAGTGAGAAGTGAAGCATAACTCTAAAGCACAGCCGAGACAAAGCATTTCTGTGGAAGATGAAAGTGCATAATTCAATCAATGATGGCTGGGACTTAAGCTAGAGGTAAACGTTAGTGTAGTTAGAGAAACAAACAGGTGAATAATCCTTTAGGCACTTTTCCATAAATACTGTATTTTGTGATAAAAGCTTTTGAGGAGTCTGGGCAACACAAACTTCAAGTATAGGTATTCTGTTACATATTCTCTAACAGACAAAATAGGAAGAGTGAAATTCTTTTCATGAAAATCTAAGAGCCTAACTTTAGGCTGTCTTGAGGTGTCTGATCACATGGCACTCTCTCCACCCAGAACTGTGCCTGTGGAGTTGAGGGCTGTTCCCGGGGACTGTTAATTTCTCTGAACTTCCAGTCAGCTTTTTGTGCGGGAAGATCATGCTCTGGCAGCAGGAAAAAGCCCTCATCCCAAAAGATGGCAACTGGAAGAAGTCCTGCATGGAAATAGTGAGGTCTGAACAAATATGGGGAGTCCCTGGGTGGTGCAAATGTTAACATGCTCGCTGCTAATGGAAATGTTGGAGGTTTAGGTCTACCTAGAGGTGCCTTGGTAGAAAGACCTGGTGATCTGCTTCTGAAAAATCAGTCACTGAAAACCCTGTAGAGTACAGTTCTACTCTGACAAACATAGGGTTGCTATGAGTCAGAATTGTCTCGACAGCAACTGGTTTGGCTTTTTTTTTTTTTTTTTGAAAGGATACAGGTGGAGCAACAGTGCCTACTACAAGAGATGACTGTGAATCAGGTTAGGATTTGGCATTTCTGCGTATCTTGGCTTAATGTCATCTAAAACCAAAAAAAACAAACCTGTTGCCATAGAGTTGATTCTGACTCATAGTGACCCTATAGGACAGAGGAGAACTGGCCCATAGGGTTTCCAGGGAACGGCTGGTGGATTCGAAGGGCTGACCTTTTGGTTAGCAGCCTGAGTTCTTAACCACTATGCCACCAGAGCTCTATAATGTCATCTAATAACCCCCCAAATTCACCATCACTCCTAACATATTATATAGGTAATGTATCTTCCAATGAATTCGCATCTTACAAACAATTTTTATGAGATCGTTTTAAACAGCAATGCTTTTCAGAAGTTTGGTCATTATAGTAATTGTATGCAAATTTATAAAGAGGTCTTCAACTACCTAAAAGAAAACACTGATGAATAATACATCAATTTTTATTATTTATTTCATTTTTTCCAGGATGGAACAATGGTGCAGACAACTGCATCATGTCAATGAGTTTAGAGAAATTAATTCCTGTGAAAACCAACTAGGAAATACAGCACCTCTGCAAAATTCTCAGGCCATCCAGACCAATCTTCAGTAGCCAGTATTTCCAGTTGATATTTGACAGAGCTGTAGTCTCTAAGTGCCTTCATGCAAGACAAGTTATTGCAGGTCATGACAGACAGAACATAGCAAGTCCAACATTTAATGAGGAGGTGGCTGTTTATTTCACTTTTGATAGAAGACTCACATCTTTTCTCAATAAACCTAACGAGAAGAGGGATAAAATTTAGATGTTTGGCTCTTCTCTGGCTGACAGGGTTTAAGTAACACCAGCATGCTACACTTTGGAGCAGCAGGATCTTTACTTTTGGCACCATCTCATGATTTTTCAACAAGTCATATACTTCTTTCATGTACTCAGCTGCAAATTGCCCAGCATTTGGTCCTCCTGTAAAACAAGCATTTGCATTCCAGAAGTATTTGGTATATCTAGTTGCTAGTCAACATTTTGGAGTGCTCCTATGTTGTGCTTATATTCTTGTTGCTAAATAGGTGAGACTTCGGGTACTCTGAATTGTCTAGTCTTTTTCCCTGTGTCTTACACTGCTGTGAAGATGAGAATGTGTATGCTCAACCACAAAGTGTGTGTTGATAAGGAAGGAGTAATATGTAAAGTGGAGTCCCTGGGTGGTGCAAACAGTTAATGAACTTAGCTGCTATCTGAAAGGTTTGAGTCTACCTAAAGGTGCCTTGGAAGAAAGGCCTGGTGATCTGTTTCCAAAAAATCAGCTATTGAAAACTCTATGGAACACAGTTCTATTCTGACACACATGGTACACCATGAGTTGGAATCTACTCGATGACAACTGTTTTTTAATGTGTAAAGCACTGGAAGGTCATTGCCTGCCAAAGGCTCCCACCTATTGCTTTAATCAGGCACCTAACAGTGAGTATTGCAAGGTGAATACAACGTGGCTGTGTTCACCTAGCAAGTCTGGTCTCTCTCATTCCTGCTTCTCTACCTTCAGTACTTGAAAACAAGGGCATTAGAGTAAACAAAGAGAAAATCAAAGCCCAAGAAGCAAAGCCAGGATGTAAGTGGTTGGAGAGAAGTTTTTCATGTATTGTTGGTTATTGCCGTCCTATCCCTCCACATTTTTTGTCCAACTCTTCTGCAGGTCTAGGCCCAACCTGACCTCACAAGGTTTTTGTTTTTTTTTTCTGGCCACTGACCCAGCCTGGTCCTAGACTCTACTTTCACCATATACTTGAACCCCAGCTCTTCCTAGTTCAAATAAACCTCCAACTTCAGCAAGGTTACTAGCCAAGAAGGCATTGGATGAAGACTCTTTAGATGGTGAGGACTGGTTGGCATAGTTGACCAGATTCTAGCCACTGGAGTTTTGATCCTGCTTGGATTTCTCTTACTTGCACTATCACAATCCAATGGGCCCAAGAATATTCAGCTGTAAAGCTTTAGCTGAAGCCTGGGCATAAACCCTTCCCCTTGCTTCCTACCAGCTCAGCTAAGGCAGTGACATTTTAAAACAGAACTTTACTAAAAAAAAAAAAAAAAAAACCAAACTGAAGGATTCTGATCCCTTTATAATTAGCTAGCTCTGTCCCTGAATGGTGGATACAGGGAAGTGAGTCTCCCCCATGAACTGGGCACCATTTTACCCTCCTTCACATGAGAAGCTCCCGAGCTTTCTGTATCCCCTCTAGCTCTGACACTGGTTCCCAACCATTTTGACTCCTCTTTTACTGTTTTCTCTCATGGACACCATTCTTTGAAAGACTTAGTCTATCAAACAAAACCAAAAAAACCCCAAACCAGTTGCCGTTGAGTCGATTCTGACTCATGGTGACCCCATGTGTGTCAGGGTAGAACCGTGTGCTCTGTATGGCCGTGATCTTTCAGATATACATTGCCAAGCCTTTCTTTTGAGGTGCAAAGCTTCTGGTTAATAGCCAAGCGCTTAATCATTTGTCCCACCCAGGGATTCCATCTATCAAAGTACATCTAAGTACAGGTATCCCCTGCTGTTCGAAAGTTTGTTTTACACTACTTCACTTTTACAAAAGGCCTACATTAGTACCTGTTTTTGCTAACCTAAAGAAATCCGAAGAGAATTTTCATTTTGCAGAAGAAAGGCTAAAGGAGAAAGTAGCATTCAGCGTTCGTTTTGCAGCAAGCTGTTAAAGAGGCAGTGTGCACCCTGAGCAGTGAGAGTGACGTCACCCAGCTCCTTCCCCAGGAACTACACTGTACATACATTATTTCTGCTTTATATAGGCTGTGTATTTATCATATCATTCCTGCCCTTACTATATGTCAGTGTTATTTTAGGTTTTATGTGTTGTTTGGTATGGTTTGGTAGGTTATTTCTGAGGTCTGGGAACACTCAACATTTTTTCCCCATATGATCTAATGGTAATTGCTTCTTTGTTTTACACCATTTTGGCTTACAAAAGGTTTTATAGGAACGCTCTACTTTCAGATAGCAAGGGAAACCTGTAATTCACTGTTAGATTAAAAAAAAAAAAAAATCAATCCATCAAAGACACTTGCAGCTGCCATCTAGAGCTTCTTATTAGGAGATGTGTTATTGAGAACTAGCTATAAAATTCCTTTACATATCTTGAAATTTCTTAGAAAAAAAAGTAGAGTGAGTTTGGATTTGAGAATCATTAGAGCAGTGTGTGTTTAAGGTGGTTTACCACTTATTTTCTAACCAAGTACACATTAATAGTGTAAGCACTGGGCTGCTAACCCAAAGGTACGTGGTTCGAACCCACCAGTTGCTCCATGGGAAAAAACTGTGGCAGTCTGCTTCCATAAAGATTTACAGCCTTGGAAACCCTATGGGGCAATTCTACTCTGTCCTAGAGGGTCGCTATGGGTCGGAATTGACTCGATGGCAACGGGTTTGGTTTGGTTTTGGTAGGTGTTTTGGAAACATTAAGTTCTTATTGATTATTCTAAGTTGTTTTCTGAGTAACACATTTTTTACAAGATAAAAAATATCAAATAGTTTTATGCTGGGTTGGAATCATATCGATAGGTTGTAGTTATATCAACTCAGTATAGATTCTTTGATTTTTTTTTATGGTAATGAGATCTTTGATAGGCAGTTTTGGTATATATATGTATATTTTAAATTAATAAAATGGGAAAACACTTAAGTAGTGGTTTATTTAATGGACACATTCTTTTAAAATGTGAGATTCTTGAGGAGAAAATAATTAGTAGTATCTTTGGTGGTACAAAGATAAAAAAGTAACAATTTAAGCAAAGGAAAGTTGTTGGAATTTTAAGACTAGAGTTATGAAAATCACTAAATTACAGTGTTACAACAAGCAAAAGGATTTTGAAACACTTGTTTTAGCATTGCTGGTTGGATCAGTACCTGTGAAGGACAACATTCCAACTCTATAGGCAGCTTGAGCTCTCTTCTCAATGGCTAGAGATTTATTCCTCAACATATGACCTAGTACCAAAATTTTTTCTTTGTGAAAAATACTCTCAGCTGAAGATATATGTTCTTCTTCCTTCTTTGTAACAAAAAACCCCTTAACGTTGACTGTCCAGAATTTCTGGAAGCCCTGATATAGTCTCACAAAATATTGATAAATCTGAATCCAAAATCGCTTACAAAAACCATGGCTCTTAGCCATTGTGTAAAAAGGCCAATGGTGCTTCAGCTATACCACTGGCAGTAACATGAGTTCATAGTCAAGAACTCTGGAATGCGTCCCTAGCAACACTGTAGAATGGCATTGGTGGCTCAGTGGTAGGATTCTTGCCTTCCATGTGGGAGACCCAGGTTCAATTCCCGGTCAATGCACCTCATGCACAGCCACCATCCATCAGTGGAGGCTTGTGTGTTGCTATGATGCTGAACAGTTTTCAGTGGAGTTTCCAGACTAAGACTGACTAGGAAGAAAGGCCTGACTACTTCTGAAAATTAGACAGTAAAACCCTATGGATCACAATGGTCTGAACTCCAGATTCATGTTCAGTCTCCAACTGATGTCTTTATTTGGATGTCTAAGAGGCTTCTCAAATAGAACATATCCAATACGGAATTACTGACCTTTCCTAAACCTATTGCTTCTCAGTTTTCTCTGTCTTGGGAGATGGCACGCCACCCCTCTGGTTGCTCAGGTTAAAAATTGTGGATTCATCCTGGACTTCTGTCTTTTTCTTACATCCCACATCCAATCTATCAGGAAATTCCATTGGCTCTACTTCCAAAATACATCCCAAATGCCAGACATTCTACAAAAATCTGCCAGTACTCTTCAAATATATTAATGCCATGGAAGTTAAAGAAAAAGGGGGGGAGGGGTTACTGTTCTAGATTGACAAGACATCTAAATTCAACATGTAATTCTTGGTTGGATCTTGTGTATATACGTATGTGCGTGCGTGCATGTGCACGTTTGTGCCTATATTATAAAGGATGTTACTGGGATAATTAGGGAAATGTAGACCTGTGTTGTCCAATACTGTAACCACTTGCCATATGTGGCTATTGAAATGTAACTAGTGTGAATTGAGATGTGCTATAAATGTAAAACACACACTGAATTTCAAAGACTTAGTATGGAAAAAAGAATGTAAAATATCTCAATAATTTTTATATTGATTACATGTTGAAATGATGTTTTGGCTATATTTGGTTAAACAAAATATATTATTAAAATTAACTTCTCCTATTCTTTTTACTGGAGCCCAAGTGGCACAGTGGTTAAGAGCTCGGCTGCCAACCTAAAGGTCAGCAGTTTGAATCCACCAGCCTATGGGGGCAGTTCTACTCTGTCCTATAGGGTTGCTATGAGTCAGAATCAACTCGACAGCAATGGGTTTTTATCCTTTTTACTATGTAAAATGTGGTTGGTTACTAGGAAATCTAGACCACCAAGCATGGACCTTCCTCAGGGCCTTTGCACTTATTGTTCCCTCTGCCTAGAATGCTCTTCCCACAGATAGCCATATGGTTTATTCCATTAGTTCCTCCAGTCAGTCCTCAAAGGTAAATTTCTCTGACCCAGAAAGGCCTTTCCCAACCCAGTGAGGTCTCCCCGGACCCAGTGAGGCCTCCCCGACCATTCTCTTTAAACCTGTGATCTCTGCCTTTACCACCCTTCCTAACCTGGGCAATCATTCTTCCACTTCTCTGCCTTACTGTCCTCCACCCACCCCCCGCCCACACACCCATGCAACCTCTTGCCAGGATATGGGCTTCATGAAGGCATGGAATTTTTTTTTTTTTAACTCTCTTTTGTTTGTTTTTTCTTCACTGCCGAATCTCTAGTGCCAAGAACAGTCCCTGCCACTTACCTTGTTCATGGTAAGTATGCAGTAAATACTTGTTGAATAAATGAAAAGATAGAGAGCTGGGTTTTTAGCAAATAACTATTGTTCTCTGCATAAAGTGTACTTACAACTTTCTCAGAATCAAAAAAGGTAATATTTATTTAGTAAGAGCTACTGTCTCCAGCATAATGTCTGGAATAAAAAGATTTTTTTTTTTCCTTTTTGAGTAGTTTTTCTGATATAATAAGAAATGCTGGTGTTTTCTGCTGAATTTAGGTTTACAATTTTGCTTTACAATTTTGTGAAATAACTAAGGCAGTTCTGTTAAACAGTATAGCAACAAACCTTATAGGGGAAATTGGTTTTTTACTGCTGATTCAGTAAAAGCAACCACTGGTATTTTAGTGAGTTACTCAGTAAATACTTTCAAAGTTTTGGGGCTCCTGTGTGATGATGCTGGCAGAATTTGGCTGGTAGCACACTCAAAAATCAATGAGGACTCTTTTTTCCCTCAAGGAGCTAACAGTCTGCTCATAGATATCACAACTCCAAAATACAGCTCTTTTTTCCCCTCCAATTAGCTTTACATCAAATTTGAGAAGTAAATATTATCCCTATCTATAGATAAAGACATTTCAAGATAAGAATAAACTCAAGTCAAGAATGAGCTATAGTGTGTTGTATAAATACCAACTCAAGAAAGGCATATGAAAAAATACAGCAGACTCTGTACATGAGACTGGTAATTCAAAAATAATTTTTATTTTAACTTACATGATTGAAAGAGTGATGAATACAAATGCCACAAAACTAAAAGCGTCCCCCTGCCCCGCCCCAACCAAAAATAAAATGCAGAAGTGAATAAAAAAGATATGGAATTATTCACTCATGCAATATTCAAAATATTTTAAAAAACCAAACCAAACAAACCAAAAAACCCTGTAACATCTGTGATATGACCGCCTATAAAAAGAAGTATTTCTACCATTTAACAGTACTACAGACTGTACAATGTGCCTTTAAAATGAAGGAAATAAGCATATATATAATATGTATAAATTTACAAGTATGTACATTATAACTTCACAGTTGAAACACATTATTTGCCAGGAAGCCTGACAAATGATTTTCACGTTGAAATGACATAAAAGTCCTTTTTAGAAGACTTGCTAAAATGTAAATATTTAAAATGACATCTAAATGATACTTTTTACAAACACATCCATAGTACAGTTGATATTCCACAGTTTTAATTACACTCACACATGTTATTTTGATACCTTGGCATACCCTACCTTGTATAAGAGGAAGAAAAGCTATTTAATAAAAACTACTGAATGATCTTGTACTTTATTTAATGGACTGTCTATCCTGATACTTAAGCAATCATGGGATCTGTTGTTTAAAAATATTTGGCCAAGAAATTCTACCGAACAGTGAATGATTTCTCTGAGACAGTAATCATCCCTCAGGCTTCCTTCATCCTGATGTCATGGCCATTTTTACAGAAGCAAGGACCACCTCTTAATGTCCCTCCACCCCCACCCATTAGGATTCCTCCAACTTCTTCTATCTCAAAGAGCATCACAGCTTTCTATATCCATGACTTTCGGTTTTGATTTATCTTAGCAGCAAAACACCCGTACGGTAAAAGTATCATAAAAAATGGCTCTCATTAAAAAAAAAAAAAAAAAGTTTAAAGCTTTGTTTTTTTTTTTTAAAGACTTTGGGTATAATCTTAATAAAGTAGTTCTTTCTACCATAATGGAAATATGACTTTGGAATTTCCAAGATGGAGAAAACAAACACAAGATATAGAGAGAGCTAAAAAAAAAAATGAAACGAAACTCTTAAAATGGGTCATTTTATCAGGTTCTGCAAGCGGATTTTTATTTGAAGAAATTCTTCTTTGTGCTTTGTATTTAAAATAAAATTAAGTAGTTAAGGGGACCACTTAACCCTGAGAACAAGACTGAGAAAAACTGCAAGGCATATGATATTTATCCAAGTATCACGTGACTATAGGTTTTCCAAGAAAGTACAAAGATGGCTATTTTAAAATTCCATACACATTAGTAAGACAGACTCTTTCATTATGTATTGTCAGAAGAATCAACGATGTAATCTACTGAATTATACAGAGCCCTAGTCCATTGGCTGAAGGAAAAAATAAATAGGTACTGTGCAACTGGACTTTGAATTCTTTCTATAACATGTTACATTTCCAGACACCCTCAACAGAACTCTTCAAGTTTTAAACACTCTCTAGCTAAATTACAGTACCATTCTGATGAAAAGGGCCAGACATTAAGACACTTAGCTGTTAACCAAAAAAAACCTGTTGCAGTCGAGTTGATTCTGACTCATAGTGACCCTAAAGAACACAGAAGAACTGCCCGATAGAGTTTCCAAGGAGTGCCTGGTGGATTTGAACTGCTGACCTTTTAGTTAGCAGCTGTAGCTCTTAACCACTAGGCCACCAGGGTTTCCACTTAGCTGTCAGGTAAAGTTAAATTGTAATTAAAAGGCCGTGGCAACTTCAGTTCCATGATGACCTCCAACTTTAACACAGTCTCGAGGAAATCTGTCCACCTGTTCATATGCTAACCGTCCATCTTCTCCTGGATAAAGGACATTAAATATGAATACCTATTTGTACTTTTTTATTCATCACTCAAATAAAAATGTTATTATAATAAGTTACAATAAAAAATTGATAATCATAAATAATAAATTAATGTCAGGGTTGTTTAGGTATGGATTGCCATATTTTGATAGGTTAACTTTAGGTAAGATAAAGCCTTCTGCTGGTCGCAGCTGACATGATGGCAGCTAACGAAAACAACATTTTTAATTAGGTTGTTATTTTCTAGGTAATATTTTGAACAACTAAGAACTTTTGAGCTTATCCCAGAGATCAAAAGAATGCCAGAGACAAAACAGAGTAGAAGTGCTGTGGCCATTTGATACAGATAATTTCACATAACAAATTCATTCCCGAGAAATCATATGGATTACATTTTAAGTGCTTTAGGAATTTCAGTATGGCTGATCCTTGACTTTGGTGCACTGAACCTTTATATAACTTCTATACATTATATATTGATACATTTAAATGATGTTTGGTAAAGGTCAACTTTAGGCTTTCAAATCTTAGCAAAAAGAAAAGACTGTCATCTAAGTACATGGTGGAATCTTCTGTCAGCAAAGAGTTAGCTCAGGTTTGTCAGTAGCACCGTATCTGAACAGTCAAGATGTATTTGCAAGTTTCTTGTTTTTTAAAAAAATGAGTAGAAAATGGGAAAGTGAAAGTGCTAATACCAGTGTTAGGAAGCAGGCTTTCATACATTTAAAATAACTGAGACAAAGATGGCAGTAATGAGTTGTACTCAATCAGAAGTTCACTGGACTAATGTTCAATTGTGAAGGAAAACAAAAGTGAAAAAGATCCATGAAATGCTGGGACTATATTGACATGAGTAGGTTTTAGAAAAGGGGTGTAATTATAGATTTTGGAATATATTTTAGCCTTGGAAACAGAAGTCTTTCAATAAGCCAAAAGTCTGGATTTTTTTTTGCTTTTTGCACATTTAACTTTTTCAGGAATACATTAGATATAAAAGTAGAGATTTGCCTGTACTTAACCTTGCAGTGAATCCTTCTAGAAGCAAAAGTCCCCTAATTCTTTGGGATGTTAGTTGATTGCTTCTGCATGCTTTGTCTTATCTGAGGCAAATACCATTTTTTTTCCTAGCTTCGTAGTTTTCAACTTTTTATTATTTTTGGAGTAGAACTTTTTTTTTTTTTAAACAAAATATGTATGTGAAACCCTGCTATTTAAAACAGATTAAAAACAGCACCTTTTCAATTGATAGGCAGAGGGAATGGAGAGACAGAGGGCCAGAAGTAGGTCTGTTCATACCATGCTCCCTCCCTGTCTACTCACACACACCCCTGTGGGTGCCTCAGCTAATGAGTGCTCTTGAGAAACCTCTAATACCTGGCCAGTTCCTAGTCTGCTCATGGATGGATTTCAATTTAGAGGTGTTAAGTCCCTCTCCAGCGTCCCTCAGAGTCTAGGTGGCCTAGGAGGTCAGGATTCCATCACAGAACTCGATTGGGTATGGGTATACATGGGCAAGTTACATAACCTCAGCATGCCCTTCTGTAAAACGAGTCTAACTATGTTTCTTATGGGGGTTCTTGGGAGGATTGTGGGATTCTTGGGAGGACTAAATGAGCTAACCCAGCAGAGCCTTCAGAACAGTGGCTGGCACAAAGCTAACCCTCAATAGGTGTTACCCAATGTTATTACAGTGACACAACAGGGGCCAGGCTCTCAGGGCATTCGCTTTTACTAACGTTTTCAGAGGGTTTTGATCTGCACTGGCTCCTCCACTAGTCCTTGAACAGCCCTGTGAAGTAGGCAGGTTGTTGGAGGAGATATAGCCTGAGCTTTGAGGAGTCAGGCAGACGTGGTTCCAAGAGGACTGAGGTTTAGCCAGACACACTGGAATGGTCGCAGCCATGGTTCAAACTACTCTGTCCAATATCGTAGCCACCAGCCACATGTGGCTATTTAAATTTAAATGGTAATTAATCAAAACTAAAGTTAAAACCTGAGCTCCTCAGTCACAGTAGCCATGTTGAAATGCTCAATAGCCATATACGACCAGTGGCTGCCATATTGGACAGTGCAGATATAGAACATTCTGACCATCACGGAGGGTTCTGTTGGACAGTTCTAGGTTAAAATATGAAATTATTCCATACTGGTTGGAAAATAGCTGCTTTCTCAAGCCCCTCGAGTGCCCTGTGACAGCCCTTCAGCTCTTCATCATAAAGTACCTCCTATCAATTCCCGTTGTAAATACTATTTTCATTGTATTAATTCAGTCATCTGTGTGAGACAAAAATGCACCAGGATTGTGTATTAGGGTCAAAGGAGATTCATAAAATGGAGCCAGGGTTTATCAAACTTTGTTGCATATTAGAATCACTTGGGAGGCTTTTAAAGCCCTGATGCCAAAGCATACCCGAGACCGATTAAGTCAGAATCCTTGGGGGTGAGTAGGGGACACTGGTGGTTCAGTGATAGAATTCTCACCTTCCATGGGGGAAACTTATGTATGATTCCTGGCCAATGTACCTCAAATGCAGCCATCACCCATCTGTCAGTGGAGGCTTGTGTAGTCTATGATGCTGAACAGGTTTCAGCGGAACTTCTAGACTAAGACAGATTAGGAGGTGGTCTACTTCTGAAAAATCAGCCACTGAAAACCCTATGGATCACAACAGTCTGATCCAAAAACAATCACTGGGAAGGCGCAGGACTGGCCAATGTTTCATACCATTGTGCATGGGCTCACCATGAGTCAGGGGCCAACTTGATGGCAGTTAATAACAACTTTAGGGGTGGAACAAGGCATGGGTATGTTTTAATGCTTGCTTGGTGATTCCAATGTGCAGCCAAGGTTGAGAACCACTGAGCTGATGGTGAGAGGGCATAGGGGTGGGGTGAGCAAGGTGTGTAAAGACCTAAGATGAAGCAGGTACGATGATTAGTTCAGGAGATGCTGCTGTTTGTGCAGCTGGAGTGAATCTTGAGGCACATTCAATAAGGATACACTTCCTTAGGTTACACTAGAAATATAAGCATTGTTGGCTATGCTATTTCAGAACACTAACGGATAAAGGAGTTCAAATTAATAACACCCTGAGTATATTTTTAGGGAATTAAATAGTTTCTACGCCTAAAATAGCCGTAAGGAATAGCTGTTTTATCCTTTAAGCAAACATATGCTGGCTAAGATTTCTGTGCAATGAATGATATATTGAACAGCAGAACGAAGCCTTATTAAACCGGTAATTGTAAGAAAGAACCCCTAACAATGAATGTGATTTTCACGGTGATTATAAATGCCATAAGATTCACCCTCACGTTATTAAGCTACAATAGTCAAACTAGCATGGCTTTTGTCCAAGTAGTATTATTGACTGGATTATGTTTGAAGACTTCTAGCAGTATAGTTTTTACATTTTAAGAGTGCGTTGTAGTAGGAAAGTTATTTACAACTGTTTATATTTGTCAATGTAGAGTTAAGGAAGGCTCTCCCCATCCTCTGAACTCCACAAAAAAGAAGAAAAGTATGAAACTTGCAAGCATGAACTTTATAAAGTAAAGTGAAGTGAAATGGAAGGGTTATCTGGATATTCCAGGGTATAATAAATACTTAAATTCTTTTCCTTGGTGTCAGGGCTCAGATGCTACAGGATAGGAGGCAACTAGAGGTTAACCTAAGGGTTAGGCTGGGATACCTGGGTGGGGGGGAGGGAGGGGGTTTATAGAATTCCCTGGGGCTATATCCCTATCCTTCGGGGAGTGCCAACCCCAACCGGGCAATCTAACCTTGCTTTATGGTTTGACTTTTGTGTTCTTCATTCCAAATTGTGCAAAGACTAATGAACCCACCTAGCATGGCTCCAGAGAGCAACTCTCACCCTCAACATCCAGAAAATTAGAACAAGGAGTTGGGGTGAGATGGACATCCATCATTTCTTTAGACTCTGTGTGTGAGTGTGTGTGTGTGAGCATGTATAAGTTGATAGCTTAGAAGGACAGGAAACATATTTGCTATGACACAGTACATGAAACTTTTCCTTACAGTTCTCTCTGAAGGAAATGATCATCTAAAAGAACTCACCAAGAGACAAGAGAGTTTCTGAAGCCACCTTTCTGATTTCTTCTGTATCAGATTGACACAGCATTACCAGCATTTTAATGCTTTCAGTAGCCTGTGGGGGGAAATAATATAGTGTTGTAACATCTATGTCTGAGGTTACTTGAGACTTAGCATTTCAGAGCTGGTAGGGGCTTTAAAAAACATCTTACCCAGAAGTTTCCAAACCTAATGTGTCAAGGTCACTTACGGAGCTCTTTAAAAGTATAGATTCCTAGACTCCAGTCCAGATGTGCTGTGTTGGAATTTCCTGGGATGGAGCCCAGGGTTTCTATTTGTAGCAGCTTTGATGATAAGCTATATTCTGCATTTCACAGAGGTCTCCAGGTCTAGAGAAGTGAAGTCACACTAGCCTGCTTTCCCAGAATAGAATAAATTCTCCTGGTTCTTTCCACTGTGTCACATTGCTTCTGAAACAGCTCTAAGAATTCCTACTATTAGGCTTATTATATACTAAAATGGAGGAGAATAAAGGTCAACGATGGGAATTCTTTTATTTGTTTGTTCCACAAACATTTATTGAGCCCTCTTTAACCCAACAGTGCATGAGGCATGAGGAATTCAGCACTGAACAAGACATGGTCCTTGCCCTCAGGAGTTTACAGTCTCATGGGAAGACAGATTGCTAAACAAGAAATTATTATAATGAATGATACAAGTGTTATGATAGGCTAAGTCAGGGTGCCTGTAGAACATGACTGGGAAAATAATTTGGTCTGGTCAAGGAAGTCTTCATGGAGGAAGTGATATCTTAGAGGAGTTAGCCAAGTTTCGGCATGTAGCAGTTGAGTATATGGGTGTAAGGGTAGTCAGGGGTGAGGAGAAAAAAGTAAATTCCAGGCAAGGAGAACAGCCATTGATAGGGTCCAGGATCTAGAGAGGTGGCCAGAGATGAGTGTGAAGAAGGCAGGGACCAGGTCAAGAAGGACCTTACCAGGTATGCTGAGGGCCTTGGACTTTATTCTAAGGCCATGGGAAGCCATGAAAAGTTTTAAGCAGGATATCTACTTAGTACATGCATTCTAATTACAGTGGAGAGAATGAGCTGAAGGGAGTTAAGACAGTAAAGAGGCAGGGAGACTGCTAGGAAGGTTGTTCTAGTCCAGGTGAGAGACACAGATGTTCAAGAAGAGCAGGGATAAAGAGTGGACAGTTTAGAGCTGGCAAGGAAGTGAGATCTATGGGATGGGGAAACTGACTGGATGTGGAAGGTGAGGGTGAGGAAAGTGTCACTGATGACCCCTAGGTTTCTGGCACGAGCTACTGGGAGAGTGGTTGTATGAATCACTAACATACAGAAGAGTACAGGTGGGTACAGGGGTGGGTGGAATTTGAGGTGACTTCCTAGTAAAGATATCTAAAAGCTGGATATATACTAGATGGGAAGGGAAGACCTGGATTGGAAATATTGGGAGTCATCAGCATATAGCTGCTAATTGAAACCATGAAAGTAGATGTTTGCTCAGGGAAAAGATGTAGAGAGAAAAGAGGGCCCAGGATGGAGCCTCTACAAACACCAATATTTAGGGCACGTAATAGAAAGAGGGCCTGCCTTCTACAAGACAAAAATGCTCTTGCTGAGACTCTTGAGGAGTTGAGAAAGGGTAACAAATTCTGTTTTTCTTTCTTGGAAGAAAGCTAGGCTTAGGAAGTGGTGGTAGTGGGTGCCAGAGTATGGCAAACTAGAGTGAGCAATACTGGTTTCCAGTTGCCTAAGAGTTGATTCCAACGCACAGCAACCCCCATGTGTATCACAGTAGAACTGTGCTCTAATTGTAGGGTTTTCAGTGGCTGATTTTTCAAAAGTAGATCACCAGGATTTTCTTCTGAGGCACCTCTGGGTAGACTCAAACCTCCAACTTTTTGGTTAGCAGCTGAGCTGTTAACCATTTGCACCACTCAGGGACGGGTAGACTATGGGTTGTTTTAGCCTACTGAGACAGATGGGAGACCCAAAATTTGAGGGCCACTTGATTTGAGGTCCTTGATCTCTCAAGGTTGTTTCCACATTGATATAGAAAAGAAATACATGGGCTGTCTGTATATTATGATTCATTTTTTTTAAAGTTATTTTCCCCAACAAGTTAGGTAAAGTTGGTTAGTTTGAGCTGATCAAATGAGTCTGCTTTTTTTTTTCCCACATCATGCTCCATGGCAGCAGCTGGCACAGTAGGTAGGTTAGGAAGAGGTCTCTAGTGGCACAAAGAATCCTACCCTCTGCTTTCAAGGGTAGGAGAAAAGAACAAAGGGGAAGAATCTGATGCCCCCAGATTTGGAATGCGCCAGAGTTTAAAACTGGACCCTCTGCTTTAAACTTTGCAGCATGAAATCCCATAAAAACACATACAGATCACTGTACCCTCATATCTTTATTTATGTATGCAGGTACGCAGACTTAAAACTTTTATATCACAGGCATCAAGCTGACATGTCACCATTTATCAAGACAACACCCAAATAAACAGCAACCAATGTTGGTGAGCTTTTTGGCCACCTGAAGGTTTTTTTTTTTTAAACAAAATAACAAAGAAGGTAAAATTTCCCAGAGCTGTTTTTCTTCACAGATCATTGACTTTTTCTTTTGAGGTGTTAATCTCTTTCTTCTTGTCCCATCAGGCCTGCAGGTCCCTGCCCCTTGTCCCATGTGCCCATTCAAGATTTTAGCAAGTTCTAAGGTGTGGCTGCCTCATTCTTTTCTGAAGACTGATTAGTCTTATTTTTTTGTGATTAAGGTAGGTCAAACATTAAATCTTGCCTACTGAAAGGTAAACTCTTTAGTGTCAGGAATCCTCAGGCCTTTCTATTTTCATTTACATTTGAGCTCTGTCACTGCTAATACCCCCTTTGACAAAATTAAGATTGGCTAGCTGCTTAGTGAAGTCCCTGGGTGGTGCAAACAGTTAACACACTCGGCTGCTAACTGAAAGGCTGGAGGTTCGAGTCCACCCAGATGTGCCTTGAAAGAAAGGCCTGGCAACCTACTTCCAAAAAAATCAGTCATTGAAAATCCTATGAAGCACAGTTCTACTCTGACACACATGGGGTTGCCATGAGTCAGAGTCAATATTCTACAGCAACTGGTTTTAGCCTTGCTCAAAGCTGAACTGTGCATCTGTGTATGGGTGGGGGTGGGGGTGGGGTCCTGAGGCTGGACTTTACCTCAAGGCTTTTCAGGGCCAGGCAAGCTGCCTTCTGGAGCTGGAGGTTTGCTTGTGTTAGTGCTTCACAGTAATAGAGCAGGGCCTGAAAGAGAAGGAAGGACATCATGAAAACATTTTGATTTACTTGTAGTTTAAGAAATATATATCGTTTTTGCTCCCTGAGATAATCTAACAGTATAAAACCAGACATTTTGCACTACCTTCAGATGAAGAAGAATCCATTATTGATTTACTGGGTAAAGGAAATTTCTACTATGTTTAAAAAAATCTAATTATTTTAAAGTTTCTCTTCATGGTATGTTTGATAATATATATGTAGAATAGTTCATATATGTTATGTATAAATAAAATATATATAATTCATGCTTATTTAATAAGAGCCCTGGTGGTGCAATGGTTAAGCGCTCAGCTGGTAACCAATAGATAAGTGATTCAAACCCACCAGCTGCTCTGCAAGAGAAAGATGTGGCAGTCTGCTTCATAAAGATTTATAGCCTAGGAAACTCTATGAGGAAGTTCTACTCTGTCCTATAGGGTCTCTCTGAGTCGGAATTGACTCAATGCAACAGATTTGGCTTTTTCAATAAATTGATCCCTTATATTTTATCAGATCAAGAAGTTTGGGGAAAATACAAATTATAATTCTGGCTTTCAAAGGGCCCTCAGATTTAGTTGACAATGATAGATTAGAAGGAACTGCAGAAAAATATGGTTAGGTGTCATAAGAGAGCTACAAGATGCTAAGTCTGTCAGATGAAGAAGAGACCCCTTCTGGGGCAATTTAATGACAGTGATGATGTTTGAATCGGGACTGAAAGGATAGGTTAGATTTCAGTTGGGAAATTAGGGGAGAAAAGGTTATTCTAGCAAGGCTCAATGGTAATATTAGTAAGAGCACACAGGCACTTAGACTTTCCTTGTTTTTTATTAAGTTGGTTGTTGTTACTACCTGCTGTTGAGTGGATTTCAACTTATGGCAACCTTTATTTTAATAGTTTTTAATTGTAATGTAGATGAAGGTTTACAGAATCAGCTTCTCATTAAATAGTACACATATTGTTTTGTGGCATTGGTTACCAACCCCACGACATGTTAGCACTCTCCCTTCTCGACCTTGGGTTCCCCACTACCAGCTTTCTGACAGCTTTCCTGTCCCCTTCTGCCTTCTCATCCTTGCCCCTGTGCTGGTGTGCCCCTTTAGTCTCGTTTTGTTTTATGGGCCTGTCTAATCTTTGGCTGAAGTTTGGTGAAGGGTAAGACAGTACACAATACTGGGGAAGCCAGCACAACTTGTACAAGGCAAGGTCATGTAAGTTCCATAGACATATCTGAACTCCCTGAGGGACCAAATTACTGGGCTGAGGGCTGAGGGGACCATGGTCTCAGGGAACATCTAGCTCAATTGGCATAACGTAGTTGATAAAGAAAATGTTCTACCTTCTGCTTTGGTGAATAGCATCTGGGGGTCTTAAAAACTTGTGAGCAGCCATCTAAGATACTCCACTGGTCTCACACCATCGGGAGCAAGGGAGAATGAAAACTAAAGACATAAGAGAAAGATTAGTCCAAAGGACTAATGGACCACAACTACCACAGCCTCCACCAGACTGAGTCCAGTACAACTAGTTGATGCCTGGCTACCACCACTGACTGCTCTGACAGGGATCACAATAGAAGGTCCTGGACAGAGCTGGAGAAAAATGTAGAACAAAATTCTAACTCACAAAAAAAAGACTAGACTTACTGGCCTGACAGAGACTGGAGAAACTCTGAGAGTATGGCCCCCAGACACCATTATAGCTCAGTAATGAAGTCACTCCCAAGGTTCATCTCTTCGTAACCATCACAGATTGTTTCTTTTTGTGTGTAAACCTTTTCATGAGTTTTTATAGTAGTGGTCTCATACAATGTTTATCCTTTTGTGATTGCCTTATGTCACTCAGCATAATGCCCTCCAGATTCATCCATGTTGTGAGATGCTTCACAGATTCATCATTGTTCTTTATCATTGTGTATGTACCATTCATCAGTTGCTGGGCATCTAGGTTGTTTCCATCTTTTTGCTATTGTGAACAGTGCTGCAGTGAACATGAGTATGCATATGTCTATTCATGTGACAGCTCTTATTTCTCTAGGATATATTCCTAGGATTGGGATTGTTGGATCATACGATATTTCTATTTCTAGCTTTCTAAAGAAGCGCCATATTGTTTTCCAAAATGGTTGTACTGTTTTGCATGACCACCAGCAGTGCATAAGAGTTTTCATGGCAACCTTTTGTACAAGAGAATGAAATGTTGCCCAGTTCTTCATCATCCTCAAAATCACCAGCATGTTTGAGTCCATTGTTAATGGCTATTGTGCCAACACATCTCACTGAGGATCTCCTATGCCCTCGTTGGTCTTTTATTAAGTTAATTGTCTATTTATATGTATCTGTATTCATAAGTACATATACATGTCTAACATGTACCTCAACTTCCTAACGTGAATTTGGGCAAGTTATTTAACTTTCCTGTGCTTTAGTCTCCTAATCTGCAAAATGGTAGTAATAATAAGCCCTACTCATACTAATAATTGAATATTAAATGCAGTGACACTTAAGACAACTTAAGGTGTAAAAGACTTAAGACAGTGCCTGGCACAAAGTAAGATCTCAATAGATATAGTTATAATATTATTTTTTATTCTGGCATATATCTGTGTATTCATTTATGTGTTTACAAGAGAAAGGATACCACACTGAGCCATTTATGTTGAATCTCCCTAAGGATGAAGCTTTTTTTTTTTTTTTTAACCTTATTTTAACTCTTTATAGCACCTGGAATGATATTCTGTACTAAGCGAGCACCAACCAAATCTGATGACACCAGAGTGCCTGGAATGAAACAGTTTGAAAGTGTAATCAACTACTAAATAATATGATTGCTCGTGAGATGTGGTACTTGCTATAGTCACCAATAATTGTAATTAAACATATTCTATTTTCTCAGTTCTATAAAACTCCATTCTTTTTTTAAATTGAGTTACAATTTGCCTACCATAATATTTACCTTTTTAAACCATATAATTCAGTGATTTTTAGAATATTCACAAACCACTACTGCTGTCTAATTCCAGAACATTTTCTTTACCCCAAAAAGAAACCCCGGACCCATTAGCAGTCATTTCCCATTGCTCCCTTGCCCCAGTCCCTGGCAACCACTGATCTATTTTCTCTCTCTATGGATTTGCCTATTCTGAACTTTCCATATAAATGGAATCATACAATATATGACCTTTTGTGTCTTGCTCTTTCACTTAGTATAATGTTTTCAAGGTTCATTCATATTGTAGCATCTATCAGAACTTCATTTCTGTTTATGGCTGCATAATATTTCATTGTATGAATATATCATATTTTATTTATCCATCTTCAGTTATGGACATTTGGTTTGTTTCCACTTTTTGACTATTATGAATAATGCTGACATGAACATTCGTGTATGAGTTTTTGTGTGGACATACGTTTTCAATGCTCTTGGTAAATAATTCCATTATTAAAGGAAGCACAGGTATGCAGTATTGGTTATTAACAATCAGGATAACAGCAATAAAAGTAACTAGCTCTTAATTATACTTGGTCTGAATGGTTAGAGCCTGGGCTTTGGCTTTTCATGACCTCTTTTTTTTTGCCTTTTAACCTCTAACACCTTCTTCCTGGGGGTGAGCAGTAAAAACCAAAACCAAACCCATTGCCACTGAGTCAATTCTGACTCATAATGACCCTATAAGACACAGTAGACTGCCTCATAGGGTTTCCTGGGCTATAATCTTTATGGGCACAGACTGCTGCATCTTTTTCCCATGGACCAGCAGGTGGGTTCAAACCACCAACCTTTTGGTTAGCATTCAGGCACTTAACCACAGCACCACAAGGACTCCTTGAGCAGTAAAAGGAGGAGGAAATAAAACTCAAATCCCAACAGGGCAGTCACACAGGACCAGCCTCTGCTATAAAAGGAAGAAGGTGACTGAGGTGTAGTCCCATCTCCCACCAGCCCCTCTCCAGAGCCCCTGCTACCACTGGCAGACTGATGCCCAAGTATATGGCTGGTACTTCATCCCTGTTGAATCACTGTTATAATGCAAATGTGCCTGAGAGAAAGGACAATTTAAGTAGTTATCAGCCATTTAAACCTTGGTACGTATGAACGTATGATATTGGTAAAGGTTAAGCCTTTGGTGGTTAAACCTGGAAGGCCCCTAAACAAAAAAAACCCATTGCCATTATTGAGTTGATTCCAACTCATAGTGATCCTATAGGACAGAGTAGAACTGCCCCATAAGGTTTCCAAGGAGCAGCTGGTGGATTCGAACTGCCAGCTTTTTGGTTAGCAGCCAAACTCTTACCCACTGCTCCAACAGAGCTCCTGAAAGCACTTAAACAAAAAAACCAAACCCATTGCTGTCGAGTCAATTCTGACTCATGGTGATCCCATAGGAGAGAGTAGAACTGCCCCATAGGATTTCCAAGGAGCGCCTAGTGGATTCAAACTGCAGACCTTTTGGTTAGCAGCCATAGCTCTTAACCACTATGCCACCAGGGTTTCCTGAAGGCCCTTAGGAGGGGTAGAAGAGGGAAAGGACAGAGGGGAACAGAGAAGAGTTGTGTGATAAAGTCCACCACTTTATAATTTTAACAAGGGCTGACCCTGGAGGTCAAACACCAATTGGTGATGACCATGCAAAATGCAAAGGGTCATAATCCATTCAATTTGTTGGCCTTGGTGGAAAATATTATGATTTCTGTCTGTCCCATTTCAGAAACATGTATTGTAAGCATGTATATAGATACATCTGAATATATTAATTCATTTTCCCAATGCATAAATAACCAGCCACTTCTCAGGTGCCAGCTAACATGCTAGATGACAGGGCAAACATGTCTATGCTAATTTTACAGATGTTACCTGACCCTGTTAGTCCTGTCTTAGATAGTAAGCTCCCAGAGGTCTTTCTAATATGGCACCATGCTCATCTGTGATAACACTGATTGCCAACCACATGGCTTCTGGCCACATTGTCCCTTTGAGCATGAAGTCTGAGCCTCTGCTGACTTCAGGGGGAACTGGAGATGTGGGACTCAAAAAGGTATTTGACATGTCCCTGTTTCTTGCAAATATTCAGTCTTACAACACGAGTGGGTATCACAGTACTAGCTTTAGTTTGAGAGGTTGCCTAAGAAGTGATGAGTACTGTGACAACTAGATTGGTAAGAGTTCTAGGAAGTAAACAGAAGACGCATTGTGAAGCAAGAAGCCCTCTGCGCAGTGAGGAAGCAGTCAGCATCTCCTCTGGCAGGTCTGAGATGATTAAAGGAACAACAACATTCCAATACAAAGGTATCATTGCAGAAAAATGGATGTTTCCTATTTGTCTAGGTGAATCAACACACGCAACTTTAAGTTTGTTTCAATAGCTACGATTCTTGAAGCAAGGTTCAAGATTTATAGTAACATCAGCTCTCACCTAGGTATTTTTGTATTTCTTTAGCTGTTTACATCTAGTTTCAAGAATTTAATGTAGTAACATCTTCTAGAGGTAGTAGTGGTTCAGTGGTAGAATTCTTGCCTTCCATATGGGAGACCAGGTTTAATTCTTGGCCAATGCACCTCATGTGCAGCCACCACTCATCTGTCAATGGAGGCTTGCATGTTGCTATGGTATTGAACAGGTTTCAGTGGAGCTTCTAGACTAAGACATACTAGGAAGAAAGGCCTGGAGATCTACCTCTGAAAATTAACCAATAAAAACCCTATGGAGCATAATGGTCTCAATCCATAGACGATCATGAAGATGGCACAGGACCGGGTAGTGTCTCGTTTTGTTGCTCATGGGGCCACCATGAGTTGTGGGCCAACTCAACTGAAGCTAACAACTTCTGCTATTCCATATACAAAAAAATGGAAAGAGTCCATTCAGTCTTTAGGGGGTTCTACTACTTAACTAGGAGCTCTGGTGGCACAGTGATTAAGCGCTTGGCTGCGAACTAAAAGGTCAGCAGTTCAAATCCACAGCTGCTCCATGGGAGAAAGATGTGGCAGTCTGTTTCCATAAAGATTATAGCCTTGGAAACCCTATAGGGCAATTCTACTCTGTCTGCAGGGTCGGTATGAGTTGGAATTGACTTGATGGCAACGGGTACTATTTAACTAAATGTGATCTTAAAAAAAAACAAAAAAACAAACCGACTGCTGTTGAGTTGATTCCAACTCATAGCGACCCTGTAGGACAGTGTGGAACTGCCCTATTGGGTTTCCAAGGAATACCTGGTGGATTCGAACTGCTGACATTTTGGTTAGCAAATGAGCTCTTAACCACTGTGTCACCAGGACTCCAGTGTGATCTTAGCTAAGTTTAACTTTTGGAGTCTCAGTTTCCTCATCTATTAAGTGGAGGAAAATAATATCCACCTTGTTAGAGATAAGATAGGTAAGTGACGTGGTACAGTGCCTGGTGTTTAGGAGGTACTCAGTAAATTGACAGTTACTATTTCTTCTTGTTTTTTTTTGACTTGGTTGGAATTGGAACTGAAAGATAGGGCATTTAGGCCGCAGCATGTGCCCTAAAAGTAGAAAGTTCATACAGAAAAGCCAAAAGAGGGTTGTGTTGTAATTGTCATCGTTGCTGCTATATAGTTCTAACAGGAAGTCAGGACGGGAGCGCGCCACAATCCTGCTCACAGAAGCCTGTGCACACTCAGGTGAGTGTATACACTGCTCCTTGCAGTATGCATGCTTTATTTTTCCTCCTTTCTTTCACTGAGGATGAAGGTAGTGGGGCCCACGAGTAGCGTTTTGAGCTAACTCGCCTAAAAGACCAGAACTTGATAGGAAAGTACAATATTAAATTCACTCTCTTAGGCCAAAATGGCATAAGAATGAAATATATTCTCATGAGTACACAGACATCCCACCACACCTAGCTTAAACAAAACAAAACAAAACAAAAAACCCACTGCCGTAGAGTTGATTCTGACTCATAGCGACCCAATAGAACAGAGTAGAACTACCCCATAGGGTTTCCAAGGAGCAGCTGGTGGATTCAAACTGCCGCTCTTTTGGTTAGCAGCCGAGCTGTTAACCACTATGCCACCAGGGCTCCGTACACCATAGCTTAGAGGTCGTGAAAAGTTTGAGACTCCTCTGAGAGTTAAACATCTGACTTTTCCGAGGACAAGATGGGGGCCAAGTTTAATTCTCTTGAGCTGATCTGAATTTGATGGGGGTTAGTTTTTAGAATGACTGTTCAAATTACAAAGGGCTCCCAGAGGACCAAGCCCACTTCTTGTATTGGGTACCAATGAGCTTGAATTGCAGATGTATTTTGTATCAGGTGGGGCCCTGATGGTGCAGTGGTTGAGAGCTACGGCGTGCTAGGCTGCTAACCAAAAGGTCGGCAATTCGAATCTACCAGCCCCTCTTTGGAAACCCTATGGGGCAGTTCTATTCTGTCCTATAGGATCGCTATGAGTCAGAATCAACTCCATCGCAATGAGTTTTTGGTTTTGTGTCAGGTGGTTGTTGGGTGCCGTGAAATTGATTCCGACTCATAGTGACCCTACAGGACAAAGTAGAACTGCCTCCTAGGGTTTCCTAGGCTGTAATCTTTATGAGAGCAGATCATCAGTCTTTTCCCCACGAAGTCGCTGGTGGGTTTGAATCACCTGCCTTTCAGTTAGCAGCCAAACACTTAACCATTGCACCAATAGGGCTGTTTAATTAAAACTGAGGGAGAGGTCCCTGGGTGGTGCAAATGGTTAAGAGCTTGACACTAGTCAAAAGCTGGCAGTTCAAAGCCACCCAGGGGTGCCCCGGAAGATAGTCCTGGCGATCTGCTTCTGAAAGGTCACGGCCTTGAAAACCCTATGGAGCAGTTCTACTCTGCACACATGGGGCTACCATAAGTTGGAATTGACTTGATGGCAACTAACAACAACTCCTGCTGTGCAAGAGCCGGTACCCCTCAGAGGTTCAGAATGTACAGGTGGCTGTGCTGTAGGCCCAAAATGCAATTAAAACTGAGGGAGAGGTAAATAACCTCTTCCCTGGCAACAGGAGTGATGGCTTTTAACTTGGAAAATATTCTAACTCTCCCATAAAGATTACAGCCAAAAAAACCCTATGGAGCAGTTCTACTCTATAATACTTGAGGTCGCCATGAGTCGAGGGCTGACTTGATGACAACTGACAACAAAAATGACAAGTGATGGAAAATTAAATAAGCTTTTAGCCTGATGCCCATGGTTTCGTATCCTACCTTTTCCCTGAAGTGCTGGTTTTTGGAGGCTGCCGCCAAGCAAAGTGTCACAGCCTTACTAACTTCATTGTCGTCTTGTGTTAACAGCAGAGCCAGTGTCCTGAGTACTTCCTGCTGGGCTGGAAGTTTGCTGGGTGCAAGGTCAGTCATAGTCTGTAGCAGTTTGTCATCTTTTAGTGACTGCAAAGTCTGAACCATGGAAACTAGAGAGTAAGAAGAAAACAGAGTTCACATTTTGACAGTAAAGAACCACCACCAGTTGCTGTGGAGTCCATTCTCACCCACGGCAACCCCATGTGTGTCAGAGTAGAACTGTGTGTTCCATAGGGTTTTCAATGGTTGACTTTTCAGAAGTAGATCTCCAGGCACCTCTGGATGGACTCGAATTGCCAATCTTTTGGTTAGCAGCTGAGAACATTCACTGTTTGTAACATGTCTATTAAAAATGTAGATAAAACTCAAGTATATATGAAACTATATACACAACAACAGACTCAGGTGTATATGATGAAAGTGGTGCTTCAAATTAGTGAGAAAAGGACAGATTATTCAAATCACTGTATTGAGACAAGTGGCTTATCAAATGTGAAAAAACTGAAGATGGACCCCTAATTCATAATGGCTTCTAAAATAATTTATGACAATACTAGGAAACTAAGGCACAGCTCAATAAATATATAACAAAAAACAAACATGTTCAACAATACAAATACATGAGTATACATCCAAATGGAGAAATAAAACTAAAAAATAATTTTTTTATTGTGCTTTAAGTGAAAGTTTACAATTCAAGTTAGTCTCTCATACAAAAATTTACACATACATTGTTATGTGACCCTAGTTGCTCTCCCTATACTGTGACAGCACACTCCTCCTTTCCACTCTGGATTTCCCGTGTCCATTTAACCAGCTCCTGACCCTCTCTGCCTTCTCATCTCGCCTCCAGATAGGAGCTGCCCATTTAGTCTCATGTATCTACTTGAGCTAAGAAGCACACTCTTCATGAGTATCATTCTATGTCCCACAGTCCAGTCTAATCTTTGTCAGAAGAGTTGGCCTTGGGAATGGTTTGTTTTGGGCTAATAGAGAATCTGAGGGCCATGTCTTCCAGGGTCCCTCCAGTCTCAAACTATTAAGTCTGGTCTTTTTACTAGAATTTGAGTTCTGCACCCCACTTCTCTCCTGCTCCGTCAAGGACTCTCTGTTGTGTTCCCTGTCAGGGTGGTCACTGGTAGCCAGGCACCATCTAGTTCTTCTGGTCTCAGGCTGATGAAGTCTCTGGTTTATGTGGACCTTTCTGTCTCTTGGGCTAATACTTGCCTTATGTCTTTGGTGTTCTTCATTCTCCTTTGCTCCAGGTGGGTTGGGACCAGTTGATGCATCTTAGATGGCCGCTTGCTAGCTTTTAAGATCCCAGACACCACTCACCAAAGTGGAATACAGAACTTCTTCTTAATAAACTTTGTTATGACAGTTGACCTAGATATCCCCTGAAACTATGGTCCCCAGACACCTGCCCCTGCTACTCTGTCCCTCGAAGTGTTTGGTTGTAGTCAGGAAACTTCTTAGTTTGATTAAGTTCAGTTGTGCTGACTTCCCCTGTACTGTATGCTGTCCTTCTCTTGGCCTAAGATAATTCTTGTCTACCATCTAGTTACTGAATACCTTTCTCCCTTTCTCCCCACCCTCATAACCATCAAAGAATGTTTTCTTCTGTGTTTAAACCTTTTCTTGAGTTCTTATAATAGTGGTCTTATACAATATTTGTCCTTTTGCGACTGACTAAATTCACTTAGCATAATGCCTTCCAGATTCCTCCATGTTACAAGATGTTTCACAGGTTCATCATTGTTCTTTATTGTTGCATAGTATTCCATTCTGTGAATATATTTGTTTATTCGACTGCTGATGGACACCTAGGTTGTTTCCATCTTTTTGCTGCTGTGAACAGTGCTGCAGTGAACATGGGTGTGCATATATCTATTCGAGTGACGGCTCTTATTTCTCTAGGATATATTCCAAGGAGTGGGATTGCTGGATCATATGGTACTTCTATTTCTAGCTTTTTAAGGAAATGCTGAATCAATTTCCAAAGTGGTTGTACCGTTTTACATTCCCACCAACAGTGTATAAGTTTTGCAGTTTCTCCACAACCTCTCCAACATTTTTTATTTTGTGTTTTTGATTAATGCTAGCCTTGTTGGGGTGAAATGGTATCTCACTGTAGTTTTTGTTTTTTTATTAATGCTAGCCTTGGTGGGGTGAGATGGTATCTCACTGTAGTTTTGATTTGCATTTCTCTTAATGGCTAATGATTGTGAGCATTTCCTCATGTATCTGTTAGCTGCCTGAATGTCTTCTTTGGCGAAGTGCATGTTTATATCCTTTGCCCATTTTTTAATTGGATTATTTGTTTTTTTGTTGTTGAGGTTTTGCAGTATTTTGCAGATTTTAGAGATTAGACGCTGATTGGACTTGTCATAGCCAAAAATTTTTTCCCAGTCTGTAGGTTGTCTTTTAACTCTTTTGGTGAAGTCTTTTGATGAGCATAAGTGTTTGATTTTTAGGAGCTCCCAGTTATCTAGTTTCTCTTCTGGTATTTCTGTATTGTTACTTATGGTTCGTATTCGGTTTATGCCATGTATTAGGGCTCCTAGCGTTGTCCCTATTTTTTCTTCCATGATCTTTATCATTTTAGATTTATATGTAGGTCTTTGATCCATTTCGAGTTAGTTTTTGTGCGTGGTGTGAGATATAGGTCTTGTTTTAGTAATAAATAAATTTTTAGAGAATGTTTAATAATTTGGGATAACGTCAAATTAAAAAAAAAGCAGGCTATAACACTGTATGAACAATCTCAATTTTGAAAATTAAAGCCACACTCATTCACCTGAAAAATACATTTGATTTTAACAGTGGAAGAATGAGGGATTTGAATTTATTTTCCTTAAGCTTCTCTATGTTTTCTAAATTTTCTACAATGAAGGCCTTTTCCTTTTATAATGAAAGCAAAAATAAACATTTATAAGGTTAGGGATTTTCATTGTTATTCCCATTTCTACTGGTAAATGAATGGACCTTCTCCTGGACCATGTAATAAGAGGCTTAGAGGTGTAAACAGATTCTCCAATAGAAGTTTACTCAGAAAAGTGACTTAGACTGTGACAAACTTAATTCCAAGACATGAAGAATATAATAAAATGAGACCCTGTGGTTCTAAAATGGTGTCTTCCTTTCTAGACTTTTATTCCTAATCCTCTGTACCAATTTGTGATTCCTAAGGGGTTGCATACACTCTCCCATGTTCCCTGCTGGTATGGTGCCTAGTGGAAGAAGATTTTGTTCCTCTCACTATGATGTCAACACATGTGGCAAACATGTTGTTACAGGGTTTAATGTTCTGGAAAGAGAAGCGCTCAGCCTGAGTCTGTGCCAAACCACGTTGCTGCTGCTGGTATGGCGCCAACCTCTACCTGCTCCCAAGGAAACATCTAATTCCACCCTATCCCTCTTAACCTGCATTGTCAAACCTCTGTGGATTTATAGAGCAGAAACCTGGGAACCAGAAACCAGCCCCTCCCTACCTGGTCCACTCCCCAAGAGGTTTTCACTCCTTAAAAAACCGTTGCCATCAAGTTAACTTCAATTCATGGTGGTCTCACGTGTGTCAGAGTAGCACTGTGTTTCATAGGGTTTTTTCAATGGTTGACGTTTTTGGAAGTAGATCACCAGGTCTTTCTTTCAAGGTGCCTCTGGGTGGACTTGAACCTCCAACTTTTTGGTTAGCAGCTGAGTACGTTAACCATCTGCACCATCCAGGGACTCCTTTCATGCATTATAGACACTTATTTTATTTCTAATATTGGAAGTGCCATATTAACAGGAAATGATGACCTTCATTGTCACACCCCTACATTGGTGTCTCTTCTCCTTGTATCCTCGATATGCACTCTTAGATCTAGCTTTCTATCTCTTCCTCCTTTCCCTTCCCACTGTGTCACTCCACCTGCCTCGTGAATCCCATTTCTGCCTATTATTATGAAAGCTCCATCAGAGAAGACAACATAAAGTAGTATTGCCTGTAGGTTTGACTCTACAAATGGCAAATCAATTAATGAGGGTAAGGAATTACAGTGAGGGACTTCGGGGCAACATGGCACCATTGACAGAAGCACCACACTGTCCCTCCACAGCACAAACGCAAAAAACTAAGTCAAACAGAGACAAACATCAATCCTGAAACCCTAGGCATCAAATGAAGAGATAAAGAACTCACCCAAGCACCAAATGGAATAAGAAGCTAACAGAGAACAGACAGCAAGGAGAGATACACACAGAGGTCACTTGTCAGCTAACACAGGATGGATTTGCCATCCTGGACTCCTGTTGGAGATCAGCAAACAGGGAGTGTGAGAAAGCAGCTTCATGGAGCTGCAGGAGAAAGAACAACTGGTAATCAGCGATATACGCTTTCCCACCCCCACCCTCTTCACCCCCACTGGGCCTCCTCTACTTCTTGCAGCCACAGTCTCTTGGCCGGAGGCACCGGCTTCAGCCCTGTGCTGCCTGGATTCTACCCATCCACTCTGGCCGGCTCCCTGAGAGTCCTTTGTTTGTTGCTGGTGTTCCTTTTTACCACTTCTTTTGGTTTCTTCCATACCTCTCACCACCTCCCACTCCTTTATCTCAAATACTTGGCTCTTGTGCCATCTTTGCTTCTTCCTGGGGGGATGTGAAGTGCTTCTTGACTGGATCTGCTTCCCAGCCCATGCTTCCACGCTGGTGGGATCCCCGGGGCTTTTTTGTTTGTTTGTTTGTCTTGATTTGTTCTGATTTGTTTGTTTTCTTTTTCTTTTCTCAGCTTGGGAGTCCCTTCTGGCTGTGCTGTGCTGCGCAGCTTGGGAGCTACTTCGTCAGTCTTCACAGCTGCGAAGTGGGATCCCTGGGGGCATTTCTTTTTTCATTTTTGTTTTCTTTTCTTTTCTCTCTTTTTCCCTTTTTGTCGTTCTTCATTTCTCAGTTCCTCGTCTCTCTATACATACCTTCTCTTGCTTTCTCCTAAATACCTGGCACTGTGTGATACCTCTACCCTTCTAGCCAGGCTGTACTTTGCAGCCTGGGAGCCACTTCCCCAGTCTTTGCAGCCACACCAGTAGGATCCCTAGGGGCTTTTCTTTTCTTTTCTTTTTTCTAATTTTTATTT